GCTCACAGAGCTGGATGCACCTCTGAAAGTATGCAGTGGACTCAGACATGACCCTAAACGTATCAACGCTGTTTTTCGGTCTCCATAAAGCACATTAACATTGTTATTTTCTCAATAAAATCCATGTTAGCCATTTAGCTATGAAGCTAGAGTCACCGGGCAGACAGAAGCCCTGCCCATCACGCGAATCCGCGTCTGTTTTGAAGTAAATTTGACACACGGTCAAAAGAAACAGACAGTAAAATCAGACAAATAAAAGGAGAATCATTAATATCATTGAAGATTTTTTTGGGGGCCTATTTTTTTGTTTTAACAAACTCATCCCTCAGGTTTTAGCAAACTTTTACAAAAACTTTCCTACTTTCCTACTGTTGCAATTTCTAGCCAAGAATTATTGGTCATCTGGTTCTCCCTATGATCACGCATGAATGGATCATAAAGATGCACCCGTTTCAGACAAAATCAAGCGGCAACCTCCCGCTCTCCCTTTAGGAAGCCAATACGGAAGTAACTAAAACTGCAATTCATCCGAAATTCCGCTAGTCCTGGCCGCTCCTGGCTCCATAATAGAGCAAATTTTAATTGAGCCCACTGTTAGAATGGCCAACTTTACAGCAGAAAAAAAGGTGTTTACAGCCTGGTTCAAAAAAAGAATTTGGTTAATACAGCTAATATTACCCTTCATGACAACTGTGAGGGGGGTGAATTTTTTTTATAACTTCTTTATCATCAGTTTCCTTTATATTAAGTTACATTAAGTTTGCATAATTAAGGCCATGGCCACTTGAGTGACAGCTAGGTCTCGTTGGTCGCCGTCACGTCACCTCAGCTGAATCCTGCAGATTAGCCACGGATCTCGGCATATTTATCATATTTCTGTGTTGTTTTATGTGGCTTTACACTGTCAACTGCCTTTTGCACTTGTTTCCTACAATTATCAGATTGCATGGCATGCTGTGTGCACTTAATTGTGCTCACAAACCATTCACGTGGCCTCCGTTTCTCATGTGAGTAAAGTTATATACTTATATACCATCTCTATACATGTATTTGTTTTATTTAAGATCATTTATCATTATATTTAGAGCTGTAATGCACTGCAGAATCTGTCAGATTGATTAGCTGTAGGCTCTAGAACAGTCATCTGAAGTGTTGTCATACAGTGTTATGCTGGATTTCATCAATAGTCTTGCATTTACTAACACAGACTATATCTGAAGTGTTTGGAAGTAATTTGCGTGTTCCTGCTGTAGGAAACTACACAAGAACAATGCTTAGTGGCTCTGTGTATTACTACAGTGTTTTTAAAAGTCTAAACACTTTATTGATATAATGTACACCCAAGCACATGTGGTCAGAATACAAACGAGTCACAGGTAATAAAGTATTAAGCGTTCTCCCAAAGTAAAACGTGTCTGAACCAGCTCCAAGCAAAATGCCAGCACTTATCTGTAGCTTTGTTCACTCTCCGCCTCTTTACCCTTGTTTGGTATCCCACCAAGGGTGCGATGACGCGCGAACAAAATGGCGACGGTTGGCCACGCCTACTTGTGGCTTCTTTTGCTCTACTCAGAAACCTATGGGTGACGTCACGGATACTACGTCCAGATATTTTACAGTATATGGACATAATCTCTTCAAAGTGTTTTATATCAAATGCGGCGCCACGCGAACTTTTCACCCGAGTCTCAAAAAATTCTGTGAGCTTCCCTATGGCGTTATATCACTGACAAATGTTGTGAGTGCAGTATTACAAGTCAAGAGCGCATTCATGTAATACGAGTGAGCAAATCTCTTTGCTCGTGCACTGATTTCCTGTTTGGGGACAAAACTGCGTGCAAGCTCTTAAATATAATACACTGCTAGTGCACATATTTACTTACTCTCAAATATGCACTGCTCATGCACAAATTTTCTTGTGCGCTCTCAGAACATTGTTCCCTCTTCCTTTCGTGCTTTTTGATATGATTATATTAATACACTATATTACCAATAACCAAAAACTAAAATAGACTTGCATATTACATTTTTATTCTAATAAACCATAACATTTTGGCTGTATGTTATATGATGATATTTCCAGTTTCAAACACTTAAAGACAAAGAGAATAGTTAATTTAAAAACATTTATTAAACATTCAAAAGGTGCACCAAACTAATAAAATAAAACATTTAGTTATAACTAACCCAAGCAGAAATGTAACTAATGTAAAATAGAGAAAACCTGATAAGGTATTAGAGCCTCCTGTACTTTTCACTCTTTAATTAAATGTGACTATCAATCTCATTTTATTATGTCAACTAAAATAAAGCGAACTAGTCTCTGTTGTACAGTGTTTTGAACAGTACTATAGTAAAGTACTTCAATTAATCTTTAGTGGTAATACTATAGTTGCTATGATAACACAAGTGTAATATAAACAAATGACCCAGTGCTGTATTTTTTTCACAATATAGGGTATATTATTCTACAATTCACCACACGTTACTGTAGTAAAACCACACTGTATTTTATTAACTATTCTCAATACTACAGTATGCTGAAGCATCTCTGGAGAGCAAAAGCATGAAAGTAGGAGGAAACAAAAGACACAAAAATTGTGAGTCTGCACCGTCCAACGGAGCAAGAGCAGATCATTCGCACGTGAGCAGCCAGAGTTTTGAGAGCTCACGAGCAGTTTTGTCCACGAAAAGAGGAAACCAGTGCATGAGCAAATAGATTCGCTCTCTCGTATTACATGACTGCGCTCCCGACTTGTAATACTGTGCTTACGACATTTGACAGTGAAATAATGCCATACTCAGCCAGCCGAAATCATGTGGCATGCAGCCACAGTGAACCTCCAAAAACACAGCAATGACGTCAAATTCGCAGCACACACTCAAAAACAGAAAGCTGATTGGCTTTTGCAAGTTGACCTAATTTGTAGTTTGTAATAATGAAAATTACAATTGGACTAGTAAAATAAAAACAACATCACCAAGAAAACCTAGCAACAACACCAAAAAAAGAATTTAAATTAATATTTGATTTAGCGTTACATGGACATCAGAAAAATAAGACCTGTGTGAAAATATTTAAGACCTAGAACAGACAATTTAAGATTTTAATTAAAAGGCCCTAAATTTTGATTTTTTTTTTTTAAATTTTAGACTTTTTAAGACCCAGCGGAAACCCTGTAATAATGAAGAACTTGGAATATTATTACAACACTTTAACTACATGATATAGGTAATGCAAAACAAAACCATAAGGTTAAAGAGTCAATGAGATGGCAGGTCTTGACATGAGGACTCCTGAGTAGCCACAGCATCCTGGGGTAGCTAGCATAACAACTTTTATATACCCATCGATGAGTAATGCCAATCTGGAGTCTTTGGGATCATCAAAGAGTAATAATATTGTATTGTAATACCGGTCGCTCTGCCTAAATCATAAAATATTCATCAAGTTTGTATTCTACTCAAAAAAAGTAAACGTAGTAAACTAGAAAGAATCTTGAACCTAAAATTAAAGAAACTTCACTAATAAAAGATGCAAAACAGGACAATTGAATGGGCTTTCTAAACTTGATGCCCTGGTATACTGCAAACTATCCGTCCTGGAGCTCCACCTTCTTGTTGATGTGCAGTGTCTTCCTAGTGATTTGTTTCTCGTTCAGGGAGTCAGACAGAGAACATAATCCATAACAACAAAAGCTACATGAATACACTGGAGAGTGGAGTACAGACGTATCCGCACCTGTACAATAACTTGCAAAGAGACGCAGAGGTGCTGTTTGCCAGATGTTTATGAAACTGTTCTTCTCTCAGTCGCCATCATTGTGTTTACAGTAAACGCAAAGAGTGCAACACATTTACAACCCACCTATTGCAGTGTAGGAGTGTTGGAAAACAGTACATCGCCACTCAGCCTTTTCAAACATTATTCAGACATGAAACATCCAGTGCACATGAGAAAATGTTTTGCTGCATTCATATCATGTGTGCAGCTTTTTGTCCAATTCTGTAGACACTGATCAGATCTATACAGTTTCTCTCCAGTGTGAATATCTCCTTGTCACAGTGTGAACACTTGTACGGTCTTTCTAGTGTGAAACGTCTGGTGCAGTTTCAATTTTGTAATAAAAGTCTTCTCACACTCAAAGCACATATACTCCCACACCAGTGTGGATCTTCACATGTTCATTAAGGTTTGCTGATCCGTTGAAACTCTTCTTACACTAGCTATGTTTCCATCCACCTATTTTATGCACATTTTGCAAATGCGCATAAAAAAACAGTTGATGGAAACGCCATGATGCGCATAAATTTTGAAAATGTGCATAAAAAACTTATGCGCCTAACTGGGTAGGATAAACTTTTTATTCGATAAGAAAAGATGCGCATAAACTGCGATGGAAACACTTTTACCGCACAAACTCCAGCATGCGCATTAAAAAAGGTCATGTGATTTGTTAAAAGAGATCATGTGGTGCTTAAAATGTGTGTGAATGGACAAAACGTCAGGCTGAGCACATTATAAAACATCTGAAATGTTATTTTCGTCTGACATCTTCAAACGCCACTGCGCGCTCACTACTTGTCAGGATTGTCTTCTGTGGCGCATTTATTTAGAAAAGATTGATGCAGCTTCTCCTACTGCAGCAAATGCAGTTTTTACTGTTGATATTTGGCGCAAGTTAATCAGGAAGTGACGATTTTGTTCGCTTTGACTCGTTGGATGGAAACGATGCTTCATTCGCACAACTTTTATGCGATAATCGAGTTTTGCACAAAGTTTATTCGCATTTTTGGATGGAAACATAGCTACTGAGTGCATGTGAATGAGTTCTCTCCAGTGTGGGTCTTCATGTGTTTATTAAGGTTTGATGAGTTACTAAAACTCTTCCCACACCAAAGCTGCGGTCACACTAGAGTTTGAGCATGCAACATTCTGTTGTACGGCACTGTGAAAAGGGGCAGGATTAAACAAGATGATTAGATATAAAGTGAGCGATTGGTCCATAATATACATTTCTGTCCAGAGAGGTCATGTTTTGATCTTCGAGTCAAGTGATATGATTTTGCAGGTCAGAGTTCACCAAACTTGAACTTTGCAACGCAGTGAACTGCAAAACTTGATACACGAACTTGCGTTTCATGTCTGATGCATTCACATGCGTATGAAAGGAAGTCTATGGGGAGAAAAGTCCAGTGTGACCGTGGCTCAAGTGCATGTGAATGGTTTTTCTCCAGTGTGGATCCTCATGTGTTTATTAAGGGATGATGATCGGCTGAAACTCTTCCCACACTGAGTGCATGTGAATGGTTTTTCTCCATTGTGGATCTTCATGTGTCTATAAAGGTTTGATGAGCAGTAAAAACTTTTCCCACACTGTGTGCATGTGAATGGTTTCTCTCCAGTGTGAATCATCATGTGTAGATTAAGGGATGATGAGCGGCTGAAACTCTTCCCACATGGAGTGCATGTGAATGGTTTCTCTCCGGTGTGGCTCATCATGTGTAGATTAAGGGATGATGGTTTGCTCAAACTCTTCCCACACTGAGTGCATGTGAATAGTTTCTTTCTAGCGTGAATCCTCATGTGTGGATTAAAGTTTGATGACAGGCTGAAACTCTTCCCACACTGAGTGCTTTTGAATGGTTTCTCTCCAGTGTGGATCCTCATGTGTCTATAAAGGTTTGATGAGCAGTAAAAACTCTTCCCACACTGACTGCATGTGAATGGTTTCTCTCCAGTGTGAATCATCATGTGTAGGTTAAGGGATGATAAGCGGCTGAAACTCTTCCCACACTGAGTGCATGTGAATAGTTTCTCTCCAGTGTGGATCCTCATGTGAATATTAAGAATGTGTTTTTTTCCAAAGCTCTTCCCACACTGAGTGCAGGTGAAACGATTCTTGTCTTTCCTTTTAAAAATACCATCAGTCTGTAAATGAGTTTTTTCCTCAATTTTGACATGATGTTCCTCCTCTTTACTCCCCTCATTCTCTTCAATTAGGACTGAAATAAATAAATACAACAGTTTTCATTAAATCTTAAAAAATCTTTTCAAAATCTGAAAAGTAAAAACACACTGGAAAGATTGTCTACACACACTGTAATTTGGATGCACATTAAATGTAAAATAAATCAGATCATATTTTGTTTAGTCCATTAACGTGTACACATTTAAGCAAATTCAATTCAATTCATCTATATTTATCTAGTGCTTTTACAATGTAAATTGTGTCAAAGCCGCTTAACATAGAAGTTATAGTAAATTGAAACTGTGTAAGTCCAGTTTTCAGAGTTTCTCATAAAAGTTATTTTGGTCATATTAATAAAACAGAGATTTGAAAGCTGTAAATGGGCTATTTTTATTTGTATATATAATTACAAAATGTTTTTTTTTGTAAAGCAGACTGGGAATACTAGTCTATTCTGTGCCTGACAGGTAAACGCATCAGAAAAAAAGTCTGAGGTAACAGCTGAACACACAGCTGAATATTTGCCTCTCAGACATGAGACATACATGTACAGCATCTGCATAAACGCTGGAACGTGCACGTTTCCAGAGATGTATAGTAACAAAGTAGAACTACTTCACTACTGTACTTAAGTACTAAAAGGCAGTATCTGTACTTTACTGGAGTATTGTTTTTTCTCCTACTTCCTTTTTTACTTCAGTATATATTTTTGATGAGTTAAATACTTTTACTCCGATAGATTTTTTATGTGCTGCATCGTTACTCGTTACTATGGGTGTTAAAATGATCGATATCTGTTCAGTAATAGATCATGACCGGTTATTCCATACTGACGTCATTTATCTCCTATGCGCGATGTCGCAATACTATGGCAGAGGCGAGGGCGAGTGAAGGCGGCACAGCACACGAGCCACTATCTCACTATACTGAGAAATGCTGTAAAACTCCATCTCTGGAGATGGTGAATTATGTGGACATTATGTATGACTTGTAATCATATTAAATATTTTTTATTTTCGTAAAGTAAAACTACACAAAATTTCCTGTAAGAGTTGGGTTTAGAGATTGGATTTGGGTTTAGAGCAATCGAAAGTACAGTTTGTACAGTATAAAAACAATTGTAACCTATGTAATGTCCCCACAATTCACAAAAATGTGTGTGTGTGTGTGTGAGAGAGAGAGAGAGAGAGACAGAGAGAGTATAGTATGTGAGTGAACATGCTGAATTATCTCATCAGTGAAGGGATTTTCTGGTAAAAGGGCCTGACGATGTGAGTTCTTGTACCATAGAAACTATTGACATTCATCAAATATCTACAAAAAACATGGCAGTATTTGCCATTTAAGAGGTTATCTTTATAAGTTGTGATTTTGACACATTAGTTTTAAAAATTCATTATATTTACTCCGAAACTATCCTAAAAGTGTTGAAAAATATATATATACTTAAGAAATGATTTCAGTATATTCATGAATAAATAACAGGCTGTGTCATATTTATTCTGTGAATGATCAAGTTTATATTTCTCAGCAAACAGTAAATTTATACTGCAGAAATGTATGATATGAAATCATTAGTTTTGCTTTTCTACCATAAAGTGACAAATCAACCATTTGGTCGAGCACAGGGGCGGACTGGCCATCTGGCGGACCGGGCACTTTACCGGTGGGCCGACGTACTTTTTGGGCCGGGCTGATCATCGTCTTATGATCTGATTGGCCCATAAAAGGCTTAGCAGCCTATCGCTTTTTTCTGCCTTATTAATTGACGCTCCTGTGATTTGTGACTCTCTGAAAGTAGATGCTTTTTTTTCCTGGACAGACAGACCGGGCCGCCCCATGTGACACTCTGCAGCCCATTGGCTCTTTTCTTTATTGACATTAGGCTGGTCCAATCACAAACTCCTATTTTGGGCTCTGTGTGAGCATGCGTCGTCTGTGTGTATTTGTCAAAATAGTCGAGAGTCAGAGAGAAGAAACGCAAGGGAGGCGCAGAGAAATCGCGGGAAATACACCGGCGTTTCATTTAGCGGTTCTGAGAAGTTCTCCTTTCATTCTAGTACACGGCTAAAAACGCAAATCACGTGACCACACACTCTCTTTCAAGAGCTGGCGGGTGAGCATAAACCCCAGGTGAGAGTATAGTGCATGTTAGACAGTTCATCTGCTGGATGATCTCATCTCACTATAGTTGTTAAACGTGATATTGAATTCATCTTGTTGTTTTGGCTGAGTGCAAAGATAAGCTAATATATTAATTTATGTAACCAAGTACACTGTAAAGTATCCTGTAGAAAATATTAATTTAAAAGAGAAATCTGTGATGGGTGTTCTTAGCTCTCTCTCAATATATATATATATATATATATATATACATATATATATATACACACACACACACACAAACTCTCTGCATGCTGGTATAGCACTCAAGGAAACTTACAAAATAAATTTCACAAACATATGTTTCAGGAATCTGGTTATTTTAAACAGGGTCCCTGCGGGTCCTTAAAAAGTCTTAAAATGTCTTAAATAAAATTTTCGATTTTTAAGGTCTGAAAATGTCTTAAATTCTGTAATTTTCCATAAGGAGGTCTTAAATTTCATGTGGGATCTTAAATATCATGTCCGACTCGTCTTATGGCGGCAAATCAATGCCAATATAAATCGAGCGCAGCGGTGATGTTTGCGCGTGAGGAGAAGTAAACCGTGAGCAGATTACAGGTCTACACGCGAGAAAATTACAGCTCGCGAGCGCACAGGGGATCTTCACGCGCGCGCTCAACTGATCCAGCGCGAGAAAACAAGTCCCGCGCGTGCACATTATCATCTGTGCGCACGATGTACGCTCTCGCGAGCGAGGTCATGCCTACAGCGCGCGCGCGATCAGTTCTCTCCGCTCGCTCGCTGGTTCTTCTCTCTGCTCGCGCGAAACAGTTTAGATTTTTGTGAGTCCTAGGGCGGGACTTGGTTTTCTTGTTATCTCTAACGCTATTGGCTACTCTACCTTTCCAGAAGTTATCCGGGATTGGACGCAGGTAAGCTAGTTTCCCCGTTAAATAAAATTATATAGGAAATCTTATCATAATGTCACAGTGTGAAACATAGACTTACTTTCTCAGTAATAATAGGTGGAGACTTACTTTCAATAATGAGATATTTTTTGTAATAATTAATCTCATAATAATGCCTATTCTTACCATCATGACCAAGTCATATAATGACATATCAAAATAATGAGATGTATTTCTGTAACAAACTTTATTACTTGGGAGAGAAAGAGAGAGTTATACCATGTGGCAAAAGATCTCTCCATTAAACAGAAATTGGGGAAAATATACATGGGCTATTAAATCAGGACGAATAATTCAGACTTTTAATGTGTTTTGAACCATTTGATGAAGTTTAGCACCTACATTTAAACTGAACTTAAACTAAACATGTTCAAATTTACAAAAATCTTTTTTTTTTCTAAGATCCATTGTCCTTGACTCATTTTCTGTGAAGAACAAGTCAGAATAAATTGGATGGACAATAGTATACAAAATAGGCTATACATGCATGAAGTGCATAAAGTACAAAGGTTTATAGTAAATATATTGTCATTAGTCTGTTATTCCACTATACAGTTAAAGTCAGAATTATTAGCCCGCCTGAATTAATAGCCCTCTGTTTATTTTTATCCTAATTTTTATTTAACGGAGAGAAGATTTTTTTCAACACATTTCTAAACATTATAGTTTTAATAACTCATTTCTAATAACTGATTTATTTTATCTTTGCCATGATGACAGTAAATAATATTAGACTAGATATTCTTCAAGACACTTCTATACAGCTTAAAGTGACATTTAAAGGCTTAACTAGGCGGGTTAGGGTAATTGGGCAAGTTATTGTATAACGATGGTTTGTTCTGTAGACTTTCGAAAAAAAATAAATAGCTTAAAGAGGGTAATAATATGGACCTTAAAATGGGTTTTAAAAAATTAAAACAGCTTTTATTCTTGCCGAAATAAAACAAGAAAAAAGTGGGCTACTTATTTTGACTTTAACTGCATATGTGACCTTTAAGATGTGGGCCTGTCGTATAGAAAGTAGTATTTGTATGCCTCTGAAGTGGAATGATGTAATGGATAGTGAGTAAAGCCAAACGAAGATTGTAGAAATTAAATTGTTGCTCAATAGGTGGCGATAAAAACCCATCTGAATGTCTGTCACTGTATTCTTTATGTTTAATTGGGCTAATCATTTTTGATTGAAGTCTTTATATGCAGGTTATTCAATCATTAACTAAAAATGAGATTGAAAAATATATATAATATATATAGATATATATATTTTACACTGATCTATATTACAAACAATGTTAACAATTATCTATAAAGATAAATTAATTATAATTATCTATAAAGATCTAAAACGCAAATAAACTCTTCTGAAGACAATATTTCCTAGAAAGATCATCCCCAAGTGTAATAATGAGCACTGCTGTTGTGGTTAATAATGAAGTAAAATACAACAAACCA